CTAGTTTTCAGGCAGCAAATTTAAATAGGGACTATCAACAGAGATATTGTTAGTTACAAAAGAAAATCAGAAAACTATGCAAGCACAAATTCAAAACTTAGTTGTCTGCAGTATATGAGCCTACCCTTGTGACTTTTAGGAGACTTTGAATATATTAGTATATTAAAAGGACATGAGCAGGGCTGGGGATGTAGCTCAGTGGCACAGGGCCTGCTAGGCAAGTGTAAGGCCCTGAGTTTGATTTCCAGCACCAAAAAAAAAAAAAAAAAAAGTACATGGTTAATTTCAAGTAATTTTTTAAAGAAAATGTCAATTTACCTTCAGAATATACTGTTCAACAAAGTTTAATCAATTGGAACACATTTTTAAAAGACTTCCATCAAAATGATAAAAAAATAAAGGTTAAGAAAAAACACAGCTGTGCATGGTGGCATATAACTGTAGTTCCAGCTACTCTGGAGGCTGAGACAGAAGGATCACTTGAGGATAAGAGTTTGAGGGCAGCTTTATCAACATAGTGAAACTCTCTCCATGCTGATGACTCAAAAGTATATAAATTAATTAAATATTAAAATTTTTTTAAAGAAAACAAACATTTGGGGTGTTCAGAAGGATAAATGCTTATCCTGACAGAGAAATAAAAGATTTTATCTTTATATATTGCTCTAAACTTTATCTAGAAAAAAATTATACACTTGGGGAAAATCTATCTTGAAGTCTATTTATTTTATGACCTCAATGTCCTGGGGGCAAATCCTTTAGCTCTTCGAATTCACTGGCTAGCAATAACATGTAGCTAATGTCTCTTCAAGTTCATTAATTAATTGGAATGGTTCTCAGAAGTTGCTCTACTGTGAGCTCTTACCAGTTCTTGTGAATATAAACCGATCTTCACAGTCTGATCTGTCGAGGGAGGGCGTCCTATCTTGCGAGGCTTTCCCACCGACACAGAGATGAATAAAATGAGACAATGGAGCATGTAGGCAAATATGTGCTGCTCAGAGCACTGTACAGAAATGACGCAGAGATTAGGTACTATGCAAGCACAAAACAGTGTGCAATTCGCCCTGATGCTTAGAGGGGACAAAGGTGTAACAGCTGAATCCTGAGGAATGAATAGGAGTCGGTCTGGCTGGCAAGTAGAAAAGACAAGGATAGGAGCCTGTGTAGAAGCATGAGTGTGTGTGATATTATTTTGAATTTGAGATGACTCACTTTGGAACACAGAGTTAGGGCATTTGAGAGGCGTAATTGATACTGGCCTGAATGGTAGACTCTTTTTTCCCTGTCATCTCTTTCCCATTTCCTTTCCTCTGTCCAGTTGAGATACAGGACAGAGACAAGTCCACCAGCCTAGGCAGATGTTGAGTAGGAGATGAAAACAATAAGCCCACTTTACAGTTGAGGAAAGTCGTGCAAAAAGAAGTTAAACAACTTTCCTAATTTTGATGCCCCTATACTATATTTCTCTTGGAATTATTAAGAACATGCTTTCTGTGTTGGTAGGTGAATTATAATTTTATTCTTTACATCAAGAGAACTCTTTTGTAAAGTCTATGAGAGTGGATTTCTTGATGACATTGTTTTAATCTTCATGAGGCAATGGTGCCATTCTTTAAAAAAAAAGAACAACTTTAATGAGTCATGTGGTGACGCACAGCTGTAATCCCAGTATTCTAGAAGGTAAATTCAAGCCCAGCCTAGACAACATAGCAAAACCCTGTCTCAAAATAAAATCCAGCCACTTGAGGTGTGTAATTCTATGGCTTTCAGAGTTGTGCATCCACCATTACGATTAATTTTAGTTTATTTTTATTTTCTCAAAAAGAACCCAGCACTCTTTAGTGATCGTCATTATTTATCCCCAACCTTCCCAGTCCTAGGTAACCATTAATCTATTTTCTATCCCTATAGATCTGTCTCTTCTGAACATTTGATGTAAGTGGAATCATACAGTATGTTGTTTTTTGTGCCTGATGTTCACTTAGCACAGGACTTTCAGGGCTCATTCATGTTATAGCATTTCTTAGTAACTCATTCTTTTCAATTGCAGAATAATACTCCATTGGATGGATATACTATATTTTATTCAGTCATCAGAAAATGGACATTTCAGGTGTCTCCACCTTTTGACTATTATAAACAATGGTGCCATTCTACGGGTGTACGTGGGTTATTCGTATTTTACTAACTTATTAATTTGATTAGTCCTGATTAGTGTACAAGTAGTGGTTTGTATTTGCAATTTGCAGGGGCCTTCAGTTACAATACGTGGCAAAATCTTTCTTTAGTGTTTACTAAATGAGATCATGGTTTATTCCAACTATTTAGTTTTATATTATGAAAGAGCTGAGCAGACAACTTACAGCCTAACCAAACGGGTATGTTTTTCCAAAGTCCTTTCCTGTTAGATTTAATGTTCTAAGAGAAGATGGATAGAAAATGACCACAAAGTACAAAACCAAAGTACTTTAAAGAAATCTCTTCCTAAGTGAAAGGACAATAAGAAACTTGGGATTTAACCTTATAGAACATTGCAATTCAAGGACCATTAAATTGTGTATAATGTACAGTCCCTGTTTTGCCAGACAGAAAAGTTTCCGATTGTACTCTGGAGATATTACAAAACATTTCTAACGTTGCTGTTAAACTAGAGAATTGTAAATTGGTAAGTTTTCAAATAAGTTCCTGCAGAATTTAGTCTGGCCTAAAGTTTCCTGTTTTTACAATTAACTCCTCATGTTTCTTTGTTGAGTGTGTGTGTGTGCGTGTGTGTGTGTGTGTGTGTGTGTGTGTGTGTGTGTGTAAAACCTAAAGATAGATCAGGAAGCTTCCAGGGCCATCTGGATCTAGCGGGGAATCCGGATTTGTGTGAGGAATGAAATGGGTACTGAATTGGAGGAATAATGTGTGAATGTACTACCCCTGTGCTAACTCTTCAGTCATTACTGTCCAAAATGCCTGTTACCTGCTACAATTGGTGTTAATATTTTCTGGGGTATTACTCTACCAACAGATCAGGTTGGTATGTCTTAGGATAAAGACATGTCAGTATAGGCATAAATGCTTCCATATTATTTTACCAGGCTCCAAAGGGATTACAAAGAAAAATGCGCACGTCAAGCATTGGGCTGCTTCTGAAAATGCTTCCTACTCGGTGCCTCTTTCCGTCTGCACTTCGTTCACCAAATAAAGAATTGTGATTAAGGAGGAGTCATCAAAACAGAAGGAAGGTTGCTAGCAACCAGGGTGACTCAAGACTGTGCACTGACTGGGCAGTGCAAGGCTGTGCTCTGTACCACAGCGGGCACGCGAGTGCCTCCTAATTTTAATCAAGATGATTTTAGAAGGAGGTTTATTCCCCAAAGCAAGATCTTTTCTCCTATGACTGAAATGAAGTAGGAAAGGTTATATTTTGACTTTTTCCTAAAGATTCCTCATTGGGGAACATGATTAAAACAATATCAATGCTAACAACAACGATAGAAAACTTGCTATTAGCTGCCTGCCATTCATTGAACCCTACTGTTTTCCCTGTTTGCCTCAGCTCACAGCTGGAGTATTATAGTCAGGCGGACTCAGGGTCAGCTGTCAGGTACCTAATTAAGAAATTGTTCGGTTTCTTAATTCAATGCATGATAAAAACATTTTAATGCTAATTCAAGATATATGTTCAATGTAGGTATTTATGTAAATGTAAACACAGCAAACATTATTAAACTATGATACTCTACTTATTTTCTCAAAACAATTATGTTTCACACGGTCATTTTATCCCAAGGAAAGATGAAACATTTGATTTTGCTGGGGAACCTTTAAAGTTATTTAATGGTTCCAGTTGGGCAGAGCACAGAGATTTATGACAAATATGTAATTTGTTTATTTGTCACCGAGTTCGAATGACTTCCAAATGTTTCCTCTTTGTAGGAAGAGGATTTTGTTTGGGTATTTTTCAATGGCCAAATACTAGTAAAAAACAAAATTAAAAAAGAAAAAAGCCTGAATCACAATCGCTCCAGTCAGGGAATACCATGTTGAAAGACAGTTTAGGTTATTTAAGAACCTACTATATTCACTTGAAACTTTTGAAGAACATGCATGCTTTAATCGATTAGCTTCTTTTCTTTTCTTTTTTTGAAGAAAGAAGAAAGAACCAAGTTTCGGTTCAAGTCCTTTTGCCATTTGCTGTAGCGTTTTCTTATCCCATCTTACTGGGCAGAAAGCGTGCTCAACAGATCAAATCGAACTGTCCGAAACAGACTGTCTGCATCCCTCGTGTTACCATCACACATCAAAGAAGGCACTCTGGGAAGAAATAAACCGTAATTAGGCCAGAGCGAGCACACAGCCCGCTTCCCCACCGTGCCCATCCCCGCCCCCCGGCCCTGGCAGCGGTCCTGGGCGCGAGCGAGGCGCGGCCACGGCGGCAGCTGCAGCAAGCGCGC